AATCTTGGTGTGTTTTATTTTTCTTATGTTTTTTTATTATTGATTGTTGTTTATTATTGTGAGTTTATTGTGATATATTGCTTTTACGTTATAGTGTTTATTGCTTCAGGTCCAACAAGTGATATCAAAGTGAGGGTTATTTTGAAACATCGATACAGAAGCAATCCAAGATAGAAATAATTTTTGTTTGAAATTATAAAATGTGATACAGATTTCACGATAAAATTAATAATATCAAATTATTCAATTTGAAAAGCCTATGATAAAAGATGATTTATTCTATAAAGATTTATATGAGTAGTATTGGGTAATTCAGCTAAACTAATAGATATGAAAGATAAAAATTGAAAGAAGTTAGATAGAAAGACGTTGGCTAAAATAAAAAAATATGTTGATATCAGCATGTTTTATTATGTAACACAAGAGATGGATGCCTACACTGTTTGAGAAAAATTGATAGCATTATATGAGAAAAATAGGTATGAATAAAGTTATACTTGTTAAAAAGTTTATAACTTTATAGTACAATAATGGATGATCTATTACAGAGTACTTAAATAATTTTTAAGATATATTTAATCAGGTGACTACTATGAAACTTAAGATGGATGATAAAATAAAGGCGTTATTTCTTTTAAATTCATTGTTAGATAACTAGAATACTTTAGTTGTGATTGTTCTTAATTCAGCTTTTAATTACAAAGTGATATTGGAGATGATAAATGATAGTATGCGTAATGAAGAAGCAAGGTAAAAAAATTCAAACCCTGAAAATCAAGCTCTGGTTATAGAGAATAAGGGTAAAAACATTGACAAAAGTTAGAACTCAAAAGGTCGTAATAAGTTTAAACATAGATCCAAGTTCAGAGATAAAGTGAAGTGCTTCCATTATGGTAAAGCATGTCATATAAAATAATACTGTAAAATTTTGAAGCAAGAGCGAAAAGATGAGAAATGTAAGAGTTTAGATGATAGTAATGTTACAGCAATGAATTTAGATAGCGATTCAGTTACTTTGATTTATACACATAGTGATTGTAATCATGTTTGTGATCTCGACATTGAGTGGATAATTGACATATGAGTGGCATATCATTATGTTCTTAAGAGGGAGTTGTTTACAACTTACAAAGCAAGAGACTTTAGTTGTACCAAAATGAGGAAACAAGAGTGTAACGCAGATTGTTGGGATTAATGATATTGTTATACAAACTAATACGAGTTACATGTTGATTTTGAAAAATGTCAAATACATTTCAGATATAAGAATGAACTTACTTGCTATTAATGTCCTTGATAAAGAAAGATATGAAAGTCGACAAAAGAATGGACAGTGAAAGCTTCTTAAATGATTTATGGTAGTTGTAAGAAAAAAAACTATGCTACACAATATATAAGACATAGATGTAATTGAATGATAATCAGATAAATGCCACTGAGGATGATGCTTTAACAAACTTGTGACATAAGAGGCTGGCACACATGAGTGAAAATGGGTTACAGGTTTTAGTAAAACAGTCTCTCATTCTCTTGACCAAAGGTATGTCTCTCGATTCACGTGATCATTATTTGTTTGATAAGCATTGTAGATTTTCTTTTTATAAGAGTTTTCAGATAAAAAATAGATTGAAATTGATTTATTCTGACGTATGTGATCTTATTAAGGTTGAGTCATTAGGTAGTAACAAGTGTTATGTTACTTTTATTGATGATGCTTCACGTAAAATTTGGGTATATATGTTGAAAAATAAAAGCCAAGTATTATAATATTTTAAAAAATTTCATGGCATGATAGAAAGGATGACAAACTACCATTGAAGTGTATTCGAACTGATAATGATGAGAAATACACATCTAAAGACTTTGAAGAGTACTGTTCAAAGTATGGGATCAAGCATGAGATGATAGAACTTGAAACACCATAGCATAATAGTGTAGTTGAAAGGATAAACTACATCATTATGAAAAAAGTTAGATGTATGTTAAGGATGATAAAATTACCAAAGCCATTCTGGGGTGAAGCAATCAACACAGCTTGTTATTTACTTAACAGATCACCATCAGTTCCTTTGAGCTTTGACATTTTAAAAAGAGTGTGGATAGAAAAATATTCTTCATACTCTCACTTAAAAATTTTCGGGTGTAAAATATTCATGCATGTGTCAAAAGAACAGAGGTAAAAACTTGACAATAAAGTCATACAATATGTGTTTGTAGGATATAGTGATGAAGAATTTGACTATAAGGTATGAGATTCAGTAAAAAAAAAAGATAATCAAAAGTAGAGATGTGATCTTTCATGAAAAAAAACCATAGTAAATCTCAAAAAAATTAAAAAAATTATACTAGTTACTGTTAAGTGTGATGTTTCAACACTAACAAAGGTTTCACAAGAAAAAGCCATAGATGATGAAAATGAGCAAGAAACAGAACTTAAAGATATAAATGAACCAACCATAATTAGTGATGAGCAAGATGTAATCAATTTTGAGCAGGGGAAGCAATCTTTTTTACTTGAAAATGTTGAACATAGGAAGCTACCTTTGGCATTCGGTGGTGTAGAGTCTCAACCTAGAAGATTTACTAGAGAACATAAGCTATTTACTAGATATCCAAGTTCAAATTTTATTTTAGTTACCAGTGAAAGAAATCTAGAGAGCTTTCAAAATATGCAGGTTATTCTGGATAGAAAGCACTAGTTAAAAGTAATGAAAAAAAAGATGAAGTCAATATAAAAAAAGGTACTTATGATCTTATTAAACTTTTAAAAAATAAGAGGCCGTTAAAAAATAAATAAGTGTTCAAGTTAAAAAAAGATGATGACAAACGAGCAAGGTACAAAGCTCTATTGATGGTGAAAGATTTTTTTCAAAAACCAAAAATCGATTTTAATGAAATCTTTTCTCTAGTTATGAAAATGAGTTTCATTCGAGTGGTACTAAGATTAACAGCTAGTTTGAATCCTGAGTTTGAATAATTTGATGTTAAAACTGTATTCTTGTATGGTGACTTGCAGGAAGATAATTATATGAATCAACTTGAGGGTTTTAAAGTAAAAAAGAAAGAACACTTAGTTTGTAAATTAAAGAAAAGCTTGTATGGCTTGAAACAAGTTCCACGACAATGATACAAAAAGTTTGATTCTTTTATGATGAGCTATAGCTATAACATAAAAGAATGACAGTGGATCCTTATGTGTATGTCAAAAACTTCTCTGATAGTAACATCATTATTCTATTATTATATGTTGATGATATGTTGATTGTGAGATAAGATGCTGATATGGTTTGTAAGTTGAAAGAACAATTGTCTAAGTCTTTTGACATGAAAGATTTAGGTTCAGCAAAGTAGATTCCAGTATAAAACATTATCCAAGATAAGAGAGCTGAAAAGTTATGGTTGTCACAGAAAAAGTATGTTGAACATGTTCTTAATAGATTCAACATGTAATATGCTAAATCAGTTAGCAGTCCATTTACCAACCATTTTCATATGAGTAAAAAATCTTATCTGATAACTAAGAAATAACAACTAACTATGTCTACTATTCCTTATTCTTTTGTAGTCGATTCTTTAATGTATCTTATAATTTATACAAAGCCTGACATTGCTCATGTAATTAGTGCAGTGAGTAGATTTATTTCTAATATAGGAAAAGTTCACTGAGAAACAATGAAATGATTTTTAGATATTTAAAAGGCACTTTAAAAATGTGTTTGAGTTATGAAATTTCATAACCAATTCTTAAAAGGTTTACTGATGCTGACATGATAGATGATTTTGATGGTAAAAAATCTACTTTAGGATATTTGTTCACTTTTACAAGAAGAGGTGTTTCTTGGCAGTCTAAGTTACAAAAGCGTATTGTTTTGTCAATTATAGAAGCTGATTATATTGTAGCAACCGAAGCAGATAAAGAAATGCTTTGGATGAATTGTTTTCTTCTTAAATTAAAGTTGAATCAGAAAGAGTATGTGATGTTCTATGATAGCTAAATGCTTTAAATTTGAGTAAGAGTGTCATGTACCATGCTAAAATGAAGTACATTGATATTAGATATCACTGGTTATATTTCGTGATTGAGGAACAATAGATGCTGTTGAAAAAAGTTTATATTGATGAGAATGTAACAGATATGTTGACCAAGACATTTTTCAGGAAGAAGTTTGAGCTTTGCAGTAACTTAGTCGGAATAGGTTTCTTAGCCAAGGTAAATTCTAAATAAAACTATTATGGTGATGAATATCTTTCAAATGGGGTTAAAGGAAAGATTGTTAGAAAAATGGGTTCTAACCCTATGTAATTGGATTTGGACTAACTAAAGGCCATAAGCTTTGGTCTTTCTTTTTACACAGAACCCTAGTTACTAAAAAAAATATGGTGCCACAAACCTAGAAAAAAAAGAAAAGAGAAAAAAAGCAAAAAAAAATAGAAAAAAATGAGAGAAGAGAGTTGGTTGAACGAAAGTCGATCCATGATCCGATTGAGTTGAAATTTTTGTCAATAAGTTTATGATTCAGAGTTTTATATTTAAAACGGTGAAGATCGAATATAAAGCTTTTTAAGAACAATCTGCAGTGTATTTATTGAGTCACTTATTTGGGAAGATTTTTTTAATTATTGATTAGCTCTGGTTTTAGCTAGAGAAAAATTTTGTATATCTATTATTTGATAATAGAGATTTTTTTTCTGATGATCTATAATTTTTCTTTCTACATTAAAAGGTTTTTTAAGTAAATTTTGATGTGCTTTATTTTTTTTTTTATAGTTGATTGTTAATTATTATATATTATTATGAATTTATTGTGATATATTACTTATACATTATTGTATTTATTGCTGCAGGTCCAACACTGAAAAAATCTACGATGATGACAGAAACCGAATTGAAGCAAGGCTAGTGGCAACTAAAATTCAGCTGCAAATATGGCTGTGGGGTGGCTGCTAATAAATAGGGTGGCTCGGCAGAGGAGGGTTGGTAGAGTATGTGCTAACCGGGCACTAACGATGTGGTTGAATACAAACCAGATCTTGTTGATTTTCGAGTTTTACCCAAAAAAAAAACAATCATTGCCATTCTATTCCAGGCACCTACCCTTCTCCTATATATCTCCTCCAAGTTCTAGGACAGCACCAAAATTCTAGCCAACCATCAAGATGCAACAAGCCACCGGCTCTAACTGTCACGTTGCGGTCTTAGCCTTCCCCTTCGCCACCCACCCTCCTCCACTCCTGACCATCACTCGTCGCCTAGCCTCTGCTGCCCCAAGCACTTTGTTTTCATTCTTCAGCACTTCAGAATCCAACACCTCTCTCTTCTCCACATCCCTACCAATGCTACCAAACATCAAAGCCTATAACATTTCGGATGGTGTACCGGAAGGCCATGTTTTTGTTGAGAAGCCCCTGGAGGACATCGAATTGTTCATGAAAGTGGGGCGTGAAAATTTCAGGAAAGGAATGGAAGTGGCAGTGGCAGAGACGGGGAGGAAACTGAGCTGTTTGGTGACTGATGCATTCCTTTGGTTTGGTAAAGAGATGGCAGAAGAGAACGGTGTAGCTTGGGTGCCATTTTTTGTTTCAGGAGTTTGCCCCCTTTCTTCCCATGTTTATACTGATCTCATCAGAGAAAATTTTGGAGTTGCAGGTAGTTTTCTACTTTTTCTTTCTTTTTGCTCACTTAGTTAATCTCTCATTTTGATTCATTTAGTTAATCTTGTCTAATTTGAAAAACTTTATTACTTTCATGCTGTTGTTGGATTAATTGTAGAGACATTAATTCTGCTAAAAGGGTGTAAGAAAATTTTATAAGTGCAAGTATAAAAAATTAGTTGTCCTTTTAATTTGTAGGAATTAGTGATTTATATATACTTCACTTTCTTAAAGTAATTATGGCATGTCGGTTAGATTTAGGCTTAGTTTTGCATTCGAAAGTTATTTTTGACCTAAAACAACATTTCAATTTAAAAATCTTGTTTCTTCCAAAAATTTTTTCGATCAATACTAAACTAGCCATTAATACTGATAAAATTGGCCCATGGCCATCTACCTTGTAAGTCTACATTTAATTACACATCAAGTCATTCATTTCATGGGGTTGGTTATTACCTGCATCTATATATGTAAATACAGGGATTGTTGGGCGAGAAGATCAAACCCTCGACTTCATTCCTGGAATGTCTAAGGTACGCATCCACGACTTGCCTGAAGGAATCGTCTCTGGAAATCTGGGATCAATTTTTTCTCGCATGTTGCATCAAATGGGCCAAGTGCTACCTCAGGCAGCTGCAGTCTTCATAAACTCATTTGAAGAACTAGACCCTGTGATTACAAATGATATGAAATCCAAGTTCAAAAAATTCCTCAACGTCGGACCTTTGATCCTTTCAACACCACCACCAGCAGTCCCAGATTCACATGGTTGCCTTGCTTGGCTTGACAAGCAAAAACCTGCAACAGCGGCATATATTAGCTTTGGCTCGGTCGCAACCCTACCTCCAAACGAACTTGTAGCAGTGGCAGAAGCATTAGAAGCTAGCAGGGTTCCTTTCATATGGTCTCTCAGAGATAATTCAAAGGTAGATTTGCCTAATGGGTTCCTAGACAGGGCCAATGGTATAGTGGTGCCATGGGCTCCCCAGATAGATGTGCTGGCTCATAGTGCTGTTGGGGTGTTCATAAGTCATGGTGGTTATAACTCAACGCTAGAGAGCATAGCAGCAGGTAGGGTGCCAATGATTGTCAGGCCATTTTTTGGGGATCATGGACTCAACGGTCGAATGGTACAGGATGTCTGGGAGATTGGTGTGATTGTTAAGGGTGGAATTTTCACAAAGAATGGCCTAATCAGTAGTTTGGATCTAGTTTTATCCCAAGAAAAGGGGAAGAAAATGAGGGAGAATTTGAAGGCAATCATGGAACTTGCGCAAAGAGCAGTTGGACCAGAAGGTAGCTCCACTGAAAATTTCAAGGCATTGTTGGATTTAGTATCTAGGTAAAATTACTACTCCCCAGCATTGTGTTTTCAAAGGCAATATGGAATTGTCTGGCCTTCAGGTTTTATCCCTTGGACGTTCAATCCATCCTGTCATGTTATTTGTTATATAATGACAGACTCGTAAGAAAAACCTTCATTCAATCCATCCCGTCATCACATCTATCATATCATTGATTTAAGAAAAGTTTTTATTGAAAACAGAAGAAGAGATCGTATGTCCTAAGTTAAAGATATGACCAGAAGTATATAACCATACCAAATCAACCATCGTTGAAATAATCTCTTCAAGGGGTCTGCATGAACCAATGCAACCCAAATGGATCCTAAATTGCATGCCATAACCATTCGTTTAGGTCAATTAATTATTATAAAAGATTCTATTAATTAGTTTCTAAGATTTTTCTCTATTTATTAATTAAACTCTTATTCTATATCAACTTAAAAAATAAGTTCATGTATTGCTTTGATTTGCATAAAAAACACCTGTTTTAAATTAATATTTCTCATATTTTATTTAATCATCAAATTTTATCAATTTACCCTTTTATTTTAATTTTTACTTAACTGATCAATTAAAATAAATAATGTGTGATAATATTATTATTGTTTTTGCCATATTAGTTTATGGTTAACTTAATTTGTTAGTGAAAAAAATTGCGAAAATAAAATTCAAATATTTATTTATAAATTTTTATAAGTATAAAAAAATAATATAATTAAAAGGCTAAATCACAAATTAATCCTATTATTTTTAATCTTCACAATAGTGAGCCTGAAAAGATTATGAAAATAAAAGCAGCACATTCCCTGGCCGCCCAGAGCCCACGTCCGTTCCACGAAACAGCTTGGAAAGAAAAGAAAAAGGGAAAAACGAAAGCCAAAAATCAAAATCATCCTTCCTTTATGCTCTGCAAACAAACGCGACCTTATCTCTCTTTCTCAAAACACTTTCCTTTCCGTTTATCTCTCTAAAAACCTGATCATTCTCATCATTAGAAAGAAAAAACCAGGCCAGCTTTTTCAAGTTTTCTACTACAAATTTCTCTCTCTTATTATCCAAATTTCTCAGCTTTTTTGTTAGAGAGAGAAAACAGAAACACAAAAAAAAAAAAAAAAAAGAATCAAAATCAGAAGTCCAATTTTCTTTTTAAAAGAGAAAGAATCGAAAATTGTGAAGGCATGGGTCAAGCTTTTCGCAAGCTCTTCGATACCTTTTTCGGTAACACAGAGATGAGGGTATTTATCTCTCTATTTATTTCTTTATCTCGTTTTAGTTTTTTAACTGAATGTTTCTTCATCGTTAGGGTTTTTTTTTAACCCAATTCTCCGGTTTATAATTTAATGTAGAGTTGAAGAAAATTTTAACCATTGATATTATAGCTTGAAAGCCCTGAAAAAACGATGTAGTTTTGCTGAACATCGCATCTCCGATTAAATTCTGCTAGAAACTTGGTAAATGAATTTGTAGATGTCTGTAGATTTAGCTAAATCGTTTCTTTGTTTTCTATTAAATTCTGTTAAAAAAATGGGATCAACATGTGACGTATAAATACTTAATTGTATTATGATTTTTTTGTTTCGTGGAAAATTTGTCACTTTTGGGTGTTTTGAGGAATGTATTGGCATCATAAAGTACCGTTGTCTGGCTTGTCAAAAACTTGATTTTTGTTGGTTCCATGACATGGGAGTGGCAAAGCCAGGTGTTTTATGTCATAAATTGAGTTTTATGCTGCAAGTATTTACATTTATCATGTTGTTGGTAGAAAAGAAAATAATTCTAAATGCATTTACTCTTCAGTATTTGCTATTGCTTGTTCTGGCTGGAAAGAGATAAACGAAAAACACACCAATCATTGGATGGTTCCGTTGTTAATAGTATTGAGAAGTTAGAGTAACCTAACTTACTATTGTTTGTCTTCACTCTTGGTAAGGCTCAACATCTATTTGCCACTTGCACAACTTGGATATTTTCGCTTGTTTTTGGGTTCTATTATAATAGGACGTATAATAGGTAATGCAGAACTAGAATATTTAAAACTGGCAGACCTTTTCATTTGTTGAGTCCCGTTGCCATCTAATTATGGGTTATGTTTTTTAAATTGGTCAATTTTATTGGCAAAAGTCTTCTTGTGAAGCAAAATTTTTTTTATTTAATGTTGTCTTTTTTTCCTTAAATTATCTAGTTCAATGTAGTAACAAGAAGTAATTAAATTTTGTGGATTAGTTCTTGTCACTGTAACTAGTGCATCTAATATTTCCTTGGCAGTTCCTTGCCATTGAAGATGATAAGAATCCTGTTAAACCAGATACTCTAGCCAATGCAAAAGGAATCTTAATGCTGTTTTGATGTACCTTTTGGGTGGTTGTCTTATCTAGAAAATGTACAGTAATTATTTTTTAATCTATTCCTGAATTAGTTATGTTATTCATCTGTAATCGTGAAGCATGAAGTTGCACTAAATGCACATTGACATCATTTAGGTTTTGATGCATTCCTAAAAACGTTTGTAACGTCTATAGTTCATGCATTATTGTATGCTTATTATGCGGTCGAATTATATGTGATTACTTTGGGGCATTTAATAATATCGTGCTTACTTGATATTCTCCATTGTCATTAAACCATGTTGGAGGATCTAAAAGTAGTAAATAATGCTTGGTATTATGAACCTGAGAATGATTGAAGTCAAACAGTGGCTTCATGTACTCGATTGTTGAATTTAGGTGCTGTGGTGGATATTCTTAGATGAATTAAATTTTTATAAGTTCAAATGTATATTGTCCACTTGTTTAAACTTGAGACAATGTTTTCATTTGAGTCAACCCTAGAATCTAGAATCCAAGCCAGTGCATTTTTGAGATAATAGTATATTGTTAAACTTTCTGAATTTAAGTAGTAGCATGTTTCTCATATCTTCTCTGTACCACATCTGGGCATTATTATTATTATTATTATACCAGCCTGTTTATTGAAGGCTTTTCTCGTTTATGTTTACTCTTATAATCAGACACAAGTGCTGTTGACTTTTTTATTTCACTTTATATTCTCCTTTCTTATGTGTTATTTTTCTGGAGCTGGCTTAGGTTGTGATGCTTGGCCTCGATGCAGCTGGAAAAACAACTATATTGTACAAGTTGCACATTGGAGAAGTTTTATCAACTGTCCCCACTATTGGTAGGCAACTTACACTTAGCAACTTGATTTTAGAAATGGCTGATTATATGATTGTGGCTCTTATATTTTGCTGGTTTTTTTTGTCCTCACTGGAGCTCTTGACAGTATTCTTTTCTTTTGTTCTTCTCATTATAAATATAAATAGGCTTTTATGGTGATACTCTTTCAAAATGCTTGGACCTTGTTTTATTGTGTTGGTTTTGTTGTTTGACACATTCTCAGCCCTTGTTTGCTAAAAGTGACATGCGAGATGCCACTTTTGGAAGGACTAAAACTAATTTTCATCTTTTCCTTTTCAAAATGCAATCTTGAAAATAGAGTTAAATTTCAAGGCTTCAGAAAACTAGCAAAGCTGTCCAAGTGGACTAGCGAGCCTGTATAGCCATTACTTTGCTTGGATGCTCTTGCATCTATGAAAAGATTGTTTTTTCCTGGTTGGCCAAATCACTAATAAAGGGATCGTATGGTCTAAGGAAATATTACCATTCAATACTATTTTTCCACTCTAGGCGTTCTCTTTGCTTGTATTGCTGATTAGTTTAGACTCACTTCAATAACAAGTATTAGCTAATTATTTACAAAGTTTCCCCATCACTGTGTCATGCACCAGCTTTGTATGGCAATATGGTTGTAGTCTGGGACAGGGAGATTGCGCTTCTGTAGTCTTTGTCCCCATAGGCATTAAGTGAACAATGTGGTTGAGTTGTATGAACTCTGATCAGTGTGTATTAAATGCATAATTGATTAGTTTTTTTTTTCTTGGTATTAATTTCTTTTCCTTGTATAATCTTTGGAATCTGTTTCTTTTTCTCAAAATTTCCTCTTGGCATATATCATCGATTAGTTTTCTGATGTTTTTGTCCTTTTTCCTTATATAATCTTTGGGATCCATATCTCGTTTTGAAAATTTCTTCTTGGCTTTAAATTAGATGTTATGAACTTTTTTCTTGAGGTGGATAGACAAGTTGATATGACAACTGAGTTCTTCTTGTTGTCTCCTCCAGGTTTTAACGTGGAGAAAGTTCAATATAAGAATGTTATATTCACAGTTTGGGATGTTGGTGGACAGGAGAAACTAAGGCCACTTTGGAGGCACTACTTTAATAATACAGATGGATTGGTGATAATTATCTCTCTCTCTCTCTCTCAAAAAGAAAAATGTTTTCTCCCTTTTAATGTTTCCTCTGATTGATATTGACCCGAATATGTGCCATTTATTGGTTACTTAGACTGCAAAAACCTTCCAGTATATTGAAATTAAACTTATTCCCTTTTTATCTTATAGCTGACATTTCCCCTGATTTTACCATTTTATTTTTTAATTTATTTTTTACATTATGTTTTCTTTTGTTGTCATTTCAGAGGGAAACTTGTTTATTGAAATTTGAGGGATTAGATACAGTATCAAACTAGGAGTTTTTTTTTTTTTTTTTTTTGTAAATTTCTGTGTTGGTTAATATTTCACATCCTTAAGTCAACTGAAAGATTTAATTTGTTAAATTGTTTGTGCTCTGTTTTTCACTACTGATTGAAAAGATAAGCACATTCATAACTCTCTCTAATATATGTCTGTGCAGATCTATGTTGTTGATTCCTTGGACCGAGAGAGGATTGGGAAAGCTAAACAAGAATTTCAGGTTGTAAATGTAGAACTTATACAATCTTGTTAGACATTTGGGCATAACATTGTCTCATTTTTCTATGAATGTTCTTTCAGACTATCATTAATGACCCATTTATGCGCAACAGTATCATCTTGGTGTTTGCCAACAAGCAGGACATGGTACGTATTCTGTTAGAGGTTTATACTTGTGTCTTTAGGTGTATATTGCAAAATGCAAGTGGTATCCACTAGATGAACTATTGAGAGTGCAGGCATGCTATTTTGCGTAGTATGACATAACAATCTCTTGGATATTTTAATGTTGAAAAGGGATTCTTGTCTTTCCATTTGCTGCTGTTCTGCTTCTTATGGATCCTCCTTATTCTCTTGGTTATTAAGAAGTGTATTTTTCTTTCTTACATGTAATGGAAAAGTTATTAAAACATCCAAGACATTGGGGATATTCTGTATTCTAAAGTGTCAAACTATAGTCCCTGTTTTGGTATATGCTTCTGGATCAGCAAAAGATTAATAGCATCAAAGAAACCCACACTTTAATATTGCATATTAATATTGCATATTTTTATGTATATAAAATTCTAACTTATTTATGCTCTGTGATCTTCAATATAGTTTAACATGTCCGCTTATCATAGTTGTATTGCATCTAACCTTTGAAAGAAGATTTATTAACAAAACCGTGCCTCATTGTTCATTATCAATAAAATGTGGCTTTTGTGTATAGCTGTGTGTTTGATGAATTCATTTATTGTTTATCTTGTGTTCTTGTTTCTGAACATAATGTGATGCCACATTAGCCACCCTCCATTCCCTTCCTTTTTTTCTAACATTAGCGATTTCTGTGAAAAAGATGCCTTAATTATGACTCAATAGGATATTCCCCAATGAATTCTTGTATGAGATTTAAATCCTTAACCCAGGGGTCCTTAAATTTCTAGTTTCCCTTCCTCTCTCATTCACCTCAACATTTTCCTACTTGAAGAAGGTATCGTTTCACCATTGTCTGAAGACTGTAATTGCCTCGAATTGACCATATGAGGCATAATGATGGATAAAGCGTGTGAAATTGGAGCTTGGGTGCTTTAGTTCCCTGGACTAAACACTTTTGAAGTGTTGCTTTTTGGTTGGATGAAATTATGAAATATTAGGAGTCTTTTCAGTGTTCCCTGCTAAAAAGGGAAGCAGAATAGAAATTGACCAGGCTGTTGTGAGGGTATTATTAGTGCAGTTTGATTAAATTATGGCCTGTTAGGAATATATATTGTGGTCCTTGCCTAGGATAATGCAGCATTTGAATTTTGAACCACAAGGACAGCTTCAAGAGTGCTTATTGTTATGTTTGATCAGATTGTAGAATGTTCAGAATTTTTTTTCTGGTTGGTGTCACTGCTAGAACTGACTGGGCTGGGGTGTTGTTGATTGCAGTAGCTCATATGTGGTTGACTGCCGGTGATGTCAACTGCAGGACATTAACACATATTAATAATTTTGCCTACAAGCTATTCTTGTGATATTATCCTGTTTCATAAGGAGTCTTTTCAGTGTTCCCTGCTAAAAAGGAAGCAGCATATAAATGGACCAGGCTGCTGTGAGAGTATTATTAGTGCAGTTTGATTAAATTATGGACATATTAGGAATATATATTGTGGTTATTTCCTAGGATAATGCAGCGTTTGAATTTGAACCAAAACGACTGCCACAAGAGTGCTTATTGTTATGTTTGATCAGATTTTAGACTGTTAGGAATTTTTTTTTTCCTGTTGGTGTCGCTGGCTAGAACTGACTGGGTTGGAGTGTTGTTGATTGCAGTAGATCATATTTGGTTTACTGCCCGTGATGCCAACTGCAGGACATTAACACATGTATTAATAATTTAGCCTAAAAGCTATTCATGCGATATTATCCTGTTTTTGTATCCTGCTGCATATCATTTGCATCAATAGTATCAAGTTATTCATGTGATCATAGTATGTTTCTCTATCCTGTTAGGGATCTTCTGTATCCATACTATTTCGCACCTGTACTGTCTAGCATTCATTTCACAGACTTTCATATGTTTTTAAGATGCTATGATTTACTCTGTAAAGTATGCTATCCAGGATGCATCCTTAAGTACTCTGGGCCATGCATCCTGCCACCTGTATTTGTTAGTCCTAACATGAATTTCTAGATCCCTCTATTTAACCTGCATGTGCATCTGTTTTGTTAGATGGTCTACACTGCATCAGTGGCTCTCTCTTTCCTTGTGTTTTTTTTGGAATAATATATACATGATATATACATCCAAGGTAAATCAGTTGTAGGTTCTGTGGGAGATTTTAGCCTGTTAAATGAGGCTTTATTCTAAGAACTTTGGTTAAACAATGGATTCTCCAGAGTTGGTATTCCCCCATGGCAATTAATGCTTAACCAAACATAAAACCAAAATATATATAGAAATATTTCATTGTGAATTTATTTTTTTTTTTGGGAGAAGGTGGAAGCCATGAAGTTAGAGCGTAGCTAATCCAGACAAAAAAGGTTGTTATGAAAACTTGTCACTTCCTAACTTGAAATTCAATGGTTCTGTTTGGATTTCCTTAATGATGGAATGTGGAGATTGAGTGTGTGACATGTTGTTTCTGTATTTTCCTGTGCATCAATATCTGATGTTTTTAACAGTCATCCTTTTAGTTTTTTTTTAATCTCCATCAAATTTTCTAGATTAGCTGTTCCATGGCAGATGAAAAGAGCTCGAGTTTCTCTTCCCTCTTCCTTCTCTCTTTTTTTGGTGGAATAGTTGAGATGAATAGAAGACTGTCTAGATTAGCTGTTCCATGGTAGATGAAAAGGGCTAGTTTTTCTTCTCTGTTTCTTGCTTTTTTTTGGTGGAATAGTTGAGATGAATGCAGCTGTCTTCGATGAGCATTTTTTTTTTTTTTTGAGCTTGCTTATTGAACTTGCATTTGGTTCCTTGTACTATGATGCATACACCGAAGTTTCCTTGCACAAAATGTCTGTTACATTGCATCTGATTTTGTGTTTTGTCCTTCCAGAAAGGAGCAATGACCCCGATGGAGGTATGTGAAGGATTAGGTCTTTTTGATCTGAAGAACAGAAAATGGCACATACAAGGCACTTGTGCCCTTAGAGGAGATGGCCTCTATGAAGGATTGGACTGGTTAGCTGGAACTCTCAAGGAGATGAAAGCAGCTGGATATTCATCACTGGGTTCATCATCATTCTAATGATACAGGTTGGAAGTATTTCTCTTGCCTATATTAATCTCAGCTACATCATCAGAGGCATTGAAGCTTATAAGCCATGTTTAACCGCCGGACGTCTGGAGTGGTAATTAAAGTTATATTTTTCTAGTCTAAAGCTGATGAAATTTACTTACTAGGGTGCTTCCCCTTCGCCTTATGTGGCACATAGACGAGAGAATTCCTCCAATGTGTATATTAAAAAGGCAGGTACTACGAATGAAAGTCGTTTACTCACTGGGGAGATTTAGATTGACCCATAGACTCTTATATTAAGTGGAAAATGGTTTTCAATTCTCTCTCTCTTTCTCTGATTTTGGACGTTTTTTCTGCAAATGCTGTGCAGATTTTTAAAAAAAAAAAAAAAAAACATGTTTGAATATTTGATCCCATCTTTCTTACATTCGAAAGTCTTCATACCAGGCTAAACTTTGTGGTTGAACCATGACCTGTTCGAAATTAGACTTCCTGCAGTTCAAAGACCTTTTAAAAGACCCAAAATAAAAAAAAAAGCTCCTAAATAATTGCCCTTTATTGAATTGAAGAATTTCATTTCCATTTCACCGAGAGGAATCATAGCGCCCCGACTCAGCCAAGCAGCATGTAAAAAGATTGAAATCGGAGTAGAATAGAATCACTTCGTAGTCATGGCCTCATCATTGTAAAAGAACCTCTATGTCACGCCGTCGACTTGCATAGGAAAAGATAAGCGCATTCAGGATATATTAGAAAGTTATAAGATAATAATTTAAAATTTAATCCAATTGGCTCGTATAAATATTTTTAAGAAAATATTTAAAAGATTAGAATTTGAATATCAATACGATGTAGTTTCTTCTGCTATTTTTAAGTTGCAATCTTTTTTGTTAAAAAAAAAAAAAGGAAAAATAATAACATGGAAGATTCTAAGACCTGTATCACTCCTAATTTCGATGTGAAGTCTATAGATTAGCCTGAGAACTATAATGCCACATGGGCAACAGTCAATTCGGCAAACGTTTGATTACTACAGTCATATTTTTGGGTTTTTTAGATAAGGCATGCCTGGATTGCCATGTCATTTGTCACTAGAAGGACTCGTCAAATATCTTACTTATATCTTAACAAGATAGTTATTTTAAAAGTGATTATTTGACGTTTAATTTGTCTAAGATCATTAAATATAATTTACATCTTATTTAAATTATTAAATATAATTCACAATTATTCACGAAAAATTTTTTTTAACTTAATATATATCTCATTAATTATTAACTATCTTAATTTTATCACTGTCTATCGTCTCTCATATATAAAGTGGTAAAGAAATCCAGGCACGTAAAACATTTTTATATTTAACACCTAAGCTTACTTTCTATGAAGCTTTACACACACTTCTCTACGATCTTCCTTCCTTTTTTATTTTACTTAAGATAAATCATTGACTTGAACGTCAGAATGTGTTTTAAATAATAATTTTGACACCTCCTAATTATGTTCTTTAACTACAAGTTCAAACTTTCCTCCATTCGATCTCATCTCAATATTTCCCTGTTAAGACATCCAAAAATACCATTAACAAAAACTATAAATAAAAATTATTTAACTTTAAAAGATATTTGAATTAATTTTATGTTTACAAGGTAGCAAGAAAAAATTTTTATTTTTTACTATTGAAACAAGATGATACCAAAAAAAAAAAAATCAACTAATAATAATAAAGTATAGTTGGAAGTAGGTAGAATTGAGAAAAGAATGGATTAAAAGTCCAGTATTTACAACTTTTTCAACAAATGTAGACAATGGGGAAAATGGATTTGTTTGAAATTTCTTCTCCCAGTTGTATGGATCACTGTGTGGAGTGGTGGGGGGATTGACCCGCCATACATTGGAAAAATGTATTTGCTGTGATTTTCTTTTCCGCATAAATTGGTATTACAGAAATGCACGGCCAAAAATATTTTCAAAAGATAAATGATGTCCAGGTCAAGAAATAGAAAAGCAGTCTTGGTCTGAGATTGGAATTAATTAATAATGAAAAAAAAAAAAGCCAAAAGTCTAGTTTTGAGACTCAAATTTTTTTTATTTCATTTCTTGCTTTCGAGTTTTGTTTTCTTAAAATTAATAGAGTTAAAATGAATTTCATACCAGGACTTCATGATATATATATATAATAGAACTTCATTTAGATGCGTTATCTGCCACTTAATCTAGATTTTCTTGTAGAATTCTTTTTCAATGGCTGTTTCAAAGGTCCAAGAACGTGAATTTCTCGATGTGTTTATCATGTGTTCTTGAATTTTAGAAATATAAATACACGTAAAAATTTTACAAATCATGTTTACGAAGTTTTGGTACAAGTAAAAATTTACACATTTAGAGATGATAAAAAAAATCGAAAAAAGAAAAAACATATTTAAAGATGAAATCAAAAAATTAATACTGCACAAGTCAAAAATCTCTATCATTGTCCTATCAAAAGATTATGCTTCGTCAATATGGTGTAGTAACGAACTTATGAAAATACTCAAACATAGAAAATCCTCTCAACATATTGTTTTACCAGTTTTCTACAATGTTGATCCAACCCAAGTTAAGAAGTAGATAGGAAGTTATGCAGAAGCATTTGCCATACATGAAGAAAACTTCAAATCCAAAATGAAAATGGTACAAAGATGGAGGATTGCTTTAACAGAAGTTGTTGATTTAGGAGACATGGTTCTACAAGATAGGTACATTTATCATTAATCAAGTTCGATACTATGTTGCACATATGCTCCCTTTCCTAACAATTCTAAACTTCATATTCTTAGTGTTCATGGATTAAATCGAGCTAGGTTCGGGTTAAGCTCATACTTAATATTAATAGTTTATATATTTATTAAACTTGACCTAACCTAAAATTACGAGTCTCAAAATTTTTTCAAGTTTGGTTTAAATTAAAAAATAAATAAATTCTAAACCTATTCATTTAACTTAATTTATATAATAAAAAATTTAAAAATATGATTAAATTAATTTTAATGGAATTAGATTTAATTCATATATAAATTAAAAATAAAAATTATATATTTAAAAATTAAAAATAAAAACTAAGTTTAATAAAAAATATATAATTTTAATTTTTAATTTATATATATATAAATTAATTTATATATAATTCACGTATTATAAAAATAAAAATGTTTATATATGTGAATTCAGATCGAGTTGGGTTCGGGTTTTAAATTTTTTGTACAAGATTAGGTTGAAATTTAAACGGTTATAAAAATTATGTCTAAGCCCGTTTAACAAGTTTTAATTTCTTGTTCAAAATCTCTTAAAACTTAAATGGACCTTCAAGTTTAGGTGAATAGTGTGACCCTTAAACAAGTCTATTCTCAATCATCATTTTATTTCATGATATTAGTTTTATCATCTATGTATATATATCCACCACGAGAGCAAAAAAAATAAAAAAAAGTTTTATTAAATTTATGTTGGTTTAATTTGTTGGTTTATTTAATTTATATATTAATTATATCATATATTATATGTTGAATAATGTTGCATTAGATTGTAATTTTTACTTGAACATGTAATGTCATAAAAAAGTTAAAATTTATGCAAGAAAAGAGCAAACACATTAATGATTTTTACTTAATTTTCAAGATTTTACCTATTGAGTTATATTTTAAATATATAGTTTAAAATATATCTGTTAAAATTTGTAGCATGAATCATAGTTCATCCAAGATATTGTGAAAGAAATTCAAAATAAACTTCATCACACTGCTTTATATGTCCATTATTATTTAGTTGGAATAGATTCTATTGTGACTTGCATTAATTGATGGTTAACAGAGGATGGATCAAATGAAGTTGGCATTGCAGCAATTTGTGGAACTGGAGGGATTGGGAAGACAATCATTGTCAAAGTTGTTTACAATCAAAACATCCTGAGATTTGAAAGTTGTAGTTTCATTGCTGATGTTAGAGAAACAAGTCGAGAGCGCAATGGCTTGGCTCAATTGCAAAGACAACTTATTTCAGATATTCTTAAAGGGAAAGCACACAAAATATACAATGTAGATGATAGAATTAATAAGATCAAAGAAGCTATATGCTGTAGAAGAATTCTTCTAATACTTGATGATGTTGATGATACGGAAAAAGCAACAGAATTAATAGGAACAGGAATACATTTTCATCCTGGAAGTAAAATCATCATAACTAGCAGGCATCGATATCTACTTAGTGCTGCTTTTACTAGCCAAAAGTTTGATTTGGAAGCATCATTTCCCAAGGCGTTTGAAGTAAAAGAACTAACTTCCAATGAATGACTTCAACTTTTTAATTGGTATGCCTTCGGCCAGAACTCTATAATTGAGAGTTTTATGGAGTATTCAAGCAGGATAGTGAAATACTGTGGTGGACTTCCATTAGCTCTTCAAGTTTTGGGTTCTTCTCTGTCTGGCAAAAGCATGATTGTGTGGGAAAGTGCATTACAGAAATTGGAAGCAATTCCTGATAGCCAAATTCAAAAGATTCTAAGAATAAGCTATGATTCCCTGGAAGATAATCATGATAAAAATTTAATCCTTGACATAGCTTGTTTATTCATTAGGAAGGATAGAGATTATGGAACAACAATTCTTGATGGTTGTGGTTTCTATACAACAGTTGGAATTGAAATTCTCATAGGCAGATCTCTCCTCATTGTTAATGAAAAAAACAAGTTAATGATGCGTCAAATGGTTAGAGATATGGGAAGAAAAATTATTCGCCAAGAATCTCCTAACCTTAGGAAACGAAGCAAATTGTGGAATAGGGATGCATTTGACGTAATAAGAAAAAAAAATGGTAAGAGACTTCATTTTAATCTACTTGTTTTTCTTTTTACCCCTTACAAAGAGGCTACAAGCTAGGGAACCTTAGACCTATTGAATGACAGTTTTTAAGGATGATTACATAAATTAACTGAGCTAAGTTTTAATTTTCATTTTTTTTTGTATATGTTTTTAATTTTATCATACGACCAATATTTTTAATTTTTTTAAAATTTTATTTTCAAGTTTCCGAAGCAATTAAATGTCTCACCCTTGACCTACAAGGATTGCTAGAAGAAAAGTTTGGAAGGAAAACTACAAGTCTACATTTTACAAAGCTTTCGAAAAATCCATTTTTCATGTCAAAGGAGGTTGATATGGAAAGTGAAGCATTTTCAAATATGCATAGACTTAAACTACTTCAGTTGGATCATGTAAAACTTAAAGGAGACTTCAAAGACTTCCCCCAAAGGCTTAATATGGTTGCGCTGGCATGGATTTCCTATACAATCTATC